ATCCTTGGATTGCCCGTCCTCACTAGATTTGAGGGCCCTGGACAATTTCCATTTTCGTAGAGTTTTGCTGGCTTAGCGGTTGTGGTTCCCTGGAGTTCCGAGGTCAGGCTAACCAAAGTCTGTCTGAGGTCGTCACCCCGCAGGCAGTCGCCGCTCTTGTGGGTCAGAAGGAAATTTGTCACCATGCGACTAGTTTGATACTAGAAAGGTGGTTGAACCTGGTATTGGTATACTTTTAGCTGGGTTCTTGATGGAAATTCCGGATCCTTTCTCAGCTAGCAAGACGCTGTTGTTGGGTTGAGTCTCCTCTGTAAAGCAGGTCCTAAAAGTGTGGAATACCTCCCACACACAGTAAGACGCTAAGCCGTTGGGAAGTATGTGATGATTGTTTTTTAACTGTATTCAATATTTTATTGCTACTTATTTGATGCACTCTGTCTTCCAGATAGAAGGTAGGATTTCCACACATTAAAAGAGAAACGCAGGTATTAGTCGTTCTTGCGTGACTCAGCGTGAGTGTCGGTTTTATCGATCATTAATAATTCGACATATTTAGGTATGACTATTAGCTATTTCCTTCTCGGTTTTTCTAAAATGACAGGGATGATTGGCCTGTGAACGATTTGGGAGGCCTTGCTTCGAATTCCTCGCTATCAAACGAGGTCGGCAACCGTCTCATGCCGCCTAGTCAGCACAATCAATTCTGGTCACGTAGATATGCCTGCCACCGAATTCCTCCATCAGCAATTGTTACCGATTTCACTTGCATTTCTGGATTTTTTTTCTTTTTTGCTTCGTTCGTTGCTTTCTAATAATATGAATAAGCAACGTCTTGTATCACTTACAGTCAGTGAATTCCCTCCATTACGCAGAGCAAATCGAATATGCCAAGAAAAATTGGATATTTCTCAACTAATAACGAGAAAACTATTGAAATTAAGGTTCATTTTACTCGGCTGGACTTCTGTGACATAGAAGTAATTGAAGCCATGTGATGTTCTATACGCTATTAACAATGCAAATAATGTATTTGTGTGCTAGACCGTTCAAATAATTGAAAGTGAGGTTCTAGAAACACAAAGAGACTGATCACATACGGCAGTGGCTTGTTTTGAGTACACCCAGGGTTATCAGTGGCAAGATTTATTCACTACTGGCAAAAAGTTCGGCGATTTCGACCTTTTGTGTTTGCTTAAAAAAAAGCCTTAACTTCATGAGCAATGCGAGATTAATAAAAAGCCAGGTCCTGGGAACGGTCAAAAATGGTTTTGTTATCTTCACAAGTTTTTCACTTTCAACGTTTTAACAAGCTAATGCTCCGTGTGGTTACAATATTTTTCTCCCTATACAGACCTTTCCACGGATCTCCCTCATACGAGGGATCTCGATCCGGTTAGTCGCGAGGCCACGTGGCGCGTCCCCAGGTGGCGGATAGGAGTTAATCGCGGATCAGAAGCGACCTTTGCTTCCCTGAGACGCAGGTGGACTCAGCGCATGGACTCCTGTTTCTGCTGCGGCGATTTGGCACATACTTTCAGTGTTTGCTAGGCATATTCATGCATGAGTGTGTGGGTGCGTTCTTGCTTATGCGGATTCTATTATACGAGTCAATTCAGCCAAAAACCTGCAATCAAGTGATAGCGAGGCGGTAAGGAGTCGCCTCCAACAAATAATCTCCATGCCCACCCTGGGAGAGCCTGGAAAACTACCTGTGGGTATACCCAGCACCCACGTTCAGAGCCCGGTAAGCTATGCGTGGGTATCAAAGATGCTAAACACAGTAAAAAATGGGCCTCATTCCCCTGACTCAGGAAGAGCCCCCAATTCGGCAGCGTTGGGTAGGACGAGTACAGAGAGGCTGCTAAAATCTCAGGGCCAATGGAAGCTGCCTAGATCACGAAGGACTATGGTGACGATCAGTACCTACAATGCACGTACACTTGCAACCGAGTCGTCCATAGAGGACTTGCTCATGCAAGCAAGAAGGATAAAGCACGACGTCATCGGCCCGGCCGAGACGAGATGGCACCACCCATTCAACGCGTCTATGGCACCCGAAAAGAAATTTTCCTCGAACAAGCTTAGTAGAGGAGTCGGCGGCTTCAGCCTTCTCGTCAACACGACTTTGCCCATGAACATCAATTCATTCGAACAGCTTAAAACCCGAATCGGACGTTTACGATTAGAAAGATGTGGATCAATGCCGGCTTTGACAATTTTTGCCGTTTACGCGACGACGTCAAACTATGACGAAGAAGAAGTCGAATCGTTCTATGCGGACTTGAAGAAGTTCTACAGAGAAGACCACACATTCTTCAACGTCACCATTGGAGATTTCAACGCCAAGATTGGACCAAGAAGAACGTCTAAAGAACATCACATTGGGACCCACGGATTGGAATGAAACGAACAGCGTGAGCGGCTTTCTGAGTTTATAATAGCGACCAAGATCGACCATGGTAACTCGCAATTTCAGAAGCCCCACCCTCAGCGCTGGACGTGGGAATCTCCTAATGGAGAATACTATAACAAAATAGATCACACTATAGTAAAAAGAAGGTTTTGCCTAACCGATGTTGCTGTTGTCCCAAAATTCTACACAGGATCAGAGCACTGTCTCCTTTGTGCACGATTCTATTTCTAGCGGAAAGGAGAAAATGCCGCTAAATTCAAAAACCGAGGTCCCAGAACCACCATAAACTGGTAATTATTCAATTCATCAGTCGGCTGATGGGAAGACACCGTTCTCGATAACATCAACAACGAATACGATCTGCTCATTCAACATCTTCACGTTAGCGTTATGAAAGCTGAGAATTCGAAAGTGAAAGTCACCAAAAGACGTCTTTTTCCAGAAACACTTGAACTGATACGCCAGCGTGGAATCGAACGAGCAGCAGGCATCCGGGAAGAAATGTCCGAACTTGCAAAATAATGCAGGCAGTCGATAAAAGATGATCTTAAGAAGAGAAGAGCACCAGTAATGGTAGAAGCTGCAGAGGCTGGGGAAAAAATTCGCAAAGCCCAACGAAGCTTTGCCAATCACAAGACTAAGATGATTGCACTCCGACGCCCAGGCGGAACGGTTACAGCGTCCAAAAAGCCAATGGAAAAATCATTCACAAATACTGCTCAAATCTCTTCGATAGCCACATCCACCTTTCGTCTTATGAAATAAAGGAGGATGGAGATGTTGTACCATCGGCTCACCCTTCCGAAATCCGGCTTGCCATTTCGTCGGTGAAGAATCGAACAGCACCAGGTCCGGACAAGATAAGACCAGAACACCTGAAGAACCTTCCGCCAGTCTTCGTAAATACACCGGTTAGGCTGTTCACACGTTACCTGTCTGAATACAATGTCCCTACTCAGTGGAAGACCAAGAGGACCGTGTTATTGTTCAAGAAGGGTGACCTGCACGATATCGATTTACAAGCCTTTGATTCAATTGAGATTGAACCAGTCTTGGAAGCCCTTGATATTAAAGGAGTCCCTACTCAGTACATAAAGATTCTTCGCGAGCTGTAGAAAAATTTCACAGCCAAGGTATCTCCATTCTACAACAATATTAACATTGACGTCAAAAGAAGAGTTGGAGAAGGCGATACCATCTCGCGAAAAATATTTACCGCCACCCTCCAGAACGTCATGTGAACAATGGAATGGAATAATATGGGAGTGAAAATTGATGGTCGGCAGTTACACCACCTTCGCTTTGCTGATGACATCGTTCTTATAACACCAAACATTAGCCAAGCGATTATATGCGTGCCGACTTTGATAAAGCCTGTGGAAAGATTGGCCTTCGACTAAATCTCACAAAAACGATCTTTATAAGGTACGGATTGGTTTCGTATGTCCCATTCACGCTCAACGGAACGAATATCTCCAAGCGCTCCAGTTATGTGTATCCAGGTCTTGAAATCAATATGATGAACGACTTAGCTCCAGAGCTGAGCAGAAGGAAACGAGCGGCTTGGGGAGCTTTCAAGAGGATCGAGGATGTAGTGAAGAGAACAAAGAACACGCGACGCCCACCTTTTCGTTTCAACGGTACTTGCTGCTTTCAAGTATGCGTCAGAAACCTGGTCGCTAATAAAGCAGGATGAAAGATCACTTAGCGTTATCGAACGCGCAGTCGAAAGGACGATGCTAGGAGTATTCCGTTTCACACAAGTAAGTAAGGGATGGGATCCGAAGCTCCGACCTGCGTCAGAGATCAGAAATCAAAGATGCGGTTCTGTACTCTATACGGTTGATGTTAAGGTGGGCCGGTCAAGTATGAACGAAAACTGATGGACAAGAGCCGTTAGTGACTGGATTTTCCTTGATGTCAAGCTCACTGCAGGAAGGTCACCGACCCAATGGTATAGTTTTTCACGAAGAGCCTAGAAGAAAGGTGTGATGCTCGACGTATCCCTAGAGCTAGCAGAACCCACTGGGCTGCTATTGCACGCGATAGGAAAAAATGGAAGATTTATCGGGGCCCGCTCGAGTCACTTGGTGATCAGCGGGACTACAGGTGATACAGGTGGTATAGATCTTCATCAGGCGCGTGTGGCGCAGTGATCGGAGGCGGCCTGCAACACACAGGCGGAATCGCTCTCTGCGCTCATGGCCCACCAAGACTTCCATCCTTTCCGGGGCGGCAAATTGGTACCAGGCTTGCCTGGGAGGATAGCAGCACTAGCTCGATACATCGGTAGGCCACGACGAGGTGTTGTAAAGGCCACATATGCAATCAATCACCTCGAAGCGATGCTTAGTGAAGTTGAATGTATGGAGCATCCCACAAAGATTGATCAATGCCGAGAGCTTTATCCTTTTTTTTACAGATTTTCCAATGTTTTTAAAAGAAGCAATGCGTCTAATAAAAGAGTATTCTCGCCCGTATGTCTTCGGAATGATTCACGTGCCAGCATTACCAGGGTAGGTTGCGCTACCATTGTGTGCTTTCCAGAAAAAAAAAGCTTTAGGAAAAAGCAACGGTAAAAAAGTCTATGACTATGCAACATAATAGCCAGTTTTCAGTCATTCAGTTTAGATCCACTCAGTTCCTCATTTCATCGCGTTTCAGGACACCTCTTAACAAGCTCTCCATGTCTGAAATACTTCAACTAGTCAGGAAAGAAACGCAAATTTACGCAAGAGCAAACGTAGTATGTACTAAGAGTTTTTCAGCACCATTAAATACACCATTATTTCTCCTAGCTCCAACAATAAGAGGACGAAGCACGAAAAAATATTTATAGTTAAAGACACCGTCAACATAGATAGGATGTAAAAGTACAAGGACTCATGTCTAAGCGTCTTCACAAATCCGGAAATTTCTCTTGCCGAGTTCTATCCCCGTTCCTAAATTTGCGGCTCAGGGAAGAACGTACGTTTAAAACGCAACTCCATTCGAAAGACTGAATTATTCCGAGAGAAATGCTAAAAGCTAAGCTGAATCTTTTACTGAGTCGTTTCCACAATTTCTTAAACCTTTCATCGGGGTTGCACCAGCGAGTAGGACAACATGAATGTTAGAGAGGATAGGCACTCTTATATGTTGCTTGCCTTCTTTTATTGTTAAAAACTCCTCATTTGATTAATCTGCATGAATAACCATAGAAGTCGTTTTCAAAACCCAGAAATGGCCGGAAATGTAGAGATTTTGTTAAGAAATTTTTCCGTATTTCATGGGCGACTAACAAAATAGGCGAGTGAGCATGATTCTATCATGTGAATATACTTCACTGTGAGTAATAATAAATGTGAAATTGAAACACCAAGTTGTACCTATTGAACGATTCGTCGATACCATGCAAAATATTCCTGGGTTGCAATTTACAGTGGACAATATTGTTTCAGGTTTAGTCTGGGATAAGTTGATAGTCTGATCGCTTTAAGTTGTTATGCTTACTCGAGATGATCGCCCGAACATTAAAGCAAAACCAAATATTTCACTTTACCGTCGGCAAATTTACCCAACATTAGGACAAAGAAGAACTAATTAAATTAAGGGCTTGATAATCACTCAAACATATTTTCCATGATTTTTAGGACGGGATAATTGCTGAAAACATGCACGACTTACCGTATATCAAGCAACCTGTTGGTCCAGAAATCATTTCGTCTATGACAGTTGCTTGTCAAAGTATACGAAATTATTCCATTAATTTTGTTAAAAACTTTTATTAAAATATTATGAAGAAAGGTCAGCAGATTTAAGCAATTTCTGAAACACTTGGACGAAGACGAGAAGATATGCTGCTTGGTGTACAGATCTTAGCCGCGGCTAACAAAGAGGCCTTGGCAGTTGCTCGCTGTACAGGTAATATTGTCTTTCGTAGTTAGTCACACGCTAACCAAATGTGCATTGAAATTGATTTCATGACACCTTTAGGTTTCGATCTGATACGTGCAGAATGTTTTGTTTTTGCTCACGTAGCTGATGAAGGATGGATGGACGGATGTGCTGGAGATCTCGTACGCTATTCTCGTTCGATTAACGCCGATTCTATCGCTATTATTACAGACGTCAAGAAAAAACATTCGTATGATTTATATATATATATATATATATATCTTCTGTGGACACTGCTGTGGTTATCGTCGTTTTTCATCTACAGCAATCACTCTTCCGTCAGATCGCATGCCGTCACTGGAGACTTGACAGTTGGTGAAGAGGCCCGAGCAGCGGAATTGTTTCTTAGTGATGGCATCGTTGTGACAGGGCGATGTACAGCATGTGCACCGGATTTGGGAGATATCGAAGGCATGCCTGGATTTATAGCATTTTAATATCGCTTAGTGCTAACAATTTTCTCACAGCACGATATTATGTAAAATATAACCACAAGAATGCGGAGCTGTGATCAAAACTCGGAGCCTCTATTTGGCTTCGAACAAGCGATTAGCTTTTTCGGGAGCCTACGTGCTATCATTCTTGTGGTTTTGCCCGGGTTCTTTATTCGTAAAAATCTGTAATAATCGATCCATGGGAGCTTGGATGGTGATTTCATCTACTAATTACCCATCACAACTTTTGGCCTATTTGAAAGTACGCAGAATGAGGTGCATAAAAAAAGTATAAAGTTCTGGGCGTTGATCAACCTCTGAGAGTTGTGTCATGCATTCGACTTCATTAAACATCACTAGAGCTGATTTAATGCATATCTGGCCTTTACAATGACTTACAGTGGCCTACCGATGTTTTGAGTCAGTCTTTCTCTCCTCTCAGAAAGGTCTGTTGCACCAACCTACCGACCCCGGAGTATGGAGGGCTTGGTGAGCCCAAACGCGGGATCGATCTCACGTTTATTGAAGGGCGCCTTTGGCCACTGCGCTACAATCACCCTATGAGATGCATATTCCTGCATTTCTCGTAAAATCGATGGCAGTTAAACTGAACGCGATGTGTTCAGCCTCAGTTCTGAGTTTCATAAAGTTCATAGTATTTTTCGAGGGCGATGAGAGACGGGGGTGATTTGTTAGATAATTTCTTTCTTTTGTGAAATAGTGTCATTAAACGTATAGTTTTTTTCATGCACATTATTAACGCGCATTATATTAGGTGGTGTGCAGGCTTTTCAAAATAGGTGCTCCGTCCGAATATTACCAGCTTTAGAATCATCTTTGAGGGTGCTGCATTTTCCACTTGTAAATTATGTTGGATACTTCCTTGAAATGATATATGAAGTAAACCAACGCGGTGGTCACGGATACAGCTAACATCTATTTTTGCCGTTATTAATGTAGATAAGAGTTCGAAACCACCAGTTGGATGAACGGATGGAATTCTGGATAACCAAATGAACTTTCATTTTCCATGCTTCTGTTTGTAAGCTTTTCTGGCTTAGCCAAGTAGTACTCAACCAAATATTGTTATATATAATGTTGAGATATTTGCAAAACTGCGGACCTGAAGTGTGTGCGGTGGGGAACGTACCCGCGCTGTTGTACTTACCGGGGAGCAGCGCGCTTCACCACCACACCATCCGGGTCCTTCCTTTTACCTGTCTCTCAGCTAGTTCTATCGATCTTTATGCCATCAGCAATCACCCGTCATTGGTAAGGACGACAGCGCGGGTTCGTTCCCCACCGCATACACCATATTTCGCAACATGCCTGCCATTAAAAAGAAAAAGGCAGTAAATAAAAGGGTTAAGATTGCAAATATTGTTGACTCGTTTTCAGCTCTTCTTCGTTTTACTTCATTCCTTTCTCAACTATACATCCTACTTGTACGGTTGCGGGTTACTATAACGACTAAGCAGTAAATGCACCCTTCAAAATTTCTCCAACAACTTTAATAAACCTTCGTAAGGAAGTTCATAAAATTTAGCTCAGTGAGAAAAAAGCTACTGTCACGAAGAAGATTATGTTTTGGCCTATCCTGTGCGCACTGAAAAGAACTTTGTGGTAATTCTTCCTACTTTTGTTCAGCAAACAAGAGGTGCTATTTTATTTCTTTATTTACGTACAAGCTGACGTTTCGGTGGATTTCGCCTTCCTCAGAGCTTGGAATGGTCATGCTGACAGAGTTTTCTATAGAAAAGAAAATCCTATAGGAAGCGGTGAGTGTGCAGAGCTGTGTTCAATGTGATTGAAATCTTGGTTTGGCGTTTTCTTTGTTTGGTTATGGAGGTATTTGGCCAAATAGATTGCTGTCAACTTGACCATTCCAGGCTCTGAGGAAGGCGAAATCCGCCGAAACGTCAGCTTGTTCGTTAATAAAGAATAAAATAGCAACTCGTGTTTGCTGAACAAAAGTAGAAGGAAATACTCAATCAATGCCGAGGTTAATAGAAAGTCGAACGTGGGAGTTTAGGGTTATTTATTCATCTTGATTTCTTAGGAACATTGCCAATATTACAGAAGTGCGATCAACATGCTCGTTGCCAATATTTGTGGGATCCGGCGTCAACGTTTCCAATGCTGATCAATTTGTAGGAGTGGATGCTTTTATTGTTGGTTCAGATTTTAAAAAAGATGGAAAATGGATGAACGAATTGGATATAGAGAGAGTTAGGTCGTTCATGAACAGAGTAAATTCATTTAAGTAGCGTGTACTGTTCCATTATCACCACTAAATACTTTCTATCATCTAGTTTCTCGTTCCATTTAACCGCTTTCTCGTGAGGCTGGAAAAAGAATGACTAATTTTATAAATTGGAAAGCTTTTACTAAACCATTTTCATCACTTCCTACTAAGAGAGTCAGATGTCCCGCCTTAGCACGCAATGTGGGCTCCATTACTTTTTCTGTTCGATTCACCGTCCTTCAACCGTCAGTCATAGAGGATGTGAGTTTCTTGCATAAACTACGCCAAAGTACAATTTGTTAAAACTATTTGAGTACTGAAAATAGATTTCTACAGCCCAGCCCTTTTTTGTTGGACAAACGTTGTAAAAATTTAACCATTATATCAAAGATCTCCTGCGAAGCACACTTAACTATTGGAACTCGAATATATTGAGAACAACGCACTTAGCGCACCGTTGAAATCTTTAAATTTGGCGCCATTCCCCGACCCCAGAGTGATGTGGAGCTTTGCTATCCCTGAGAGCGGGATCGAAACAGCAAGGTATGTAGCCACATCTAACTGTCGTTCTATAGAATTTCCTCAATTCACGCTTACATTATAATGTATGCGCATGTAAACAAGTAGTCAACAACATATCCGACACACAGAAGTAGTATTAAAGAGTCAGGATTAATACTAGTAATAAGACAGGACAATTTGTGCGGTGGATTGATGGATTCTTTCCTAAAGAAACTTGCTTTTCAATATCCAACGACGAGGTCACTTAAGCAGTTCCGGATTTGGGAACATTATAAGGTTATGGAGAACACTTTGCTCTGCTGCATTAATTAAGTGTGCACTCTCGATATAAAACGCCTTAGATTTTAAAGAAATGAAAAATTAACTGTCGAAAACTTGTTAAAGAAGAGCAGGTTTCTCAAGACTTCAACTGAAAAGCCATCGAGATAGACAGTATATTGTAGAAAGCCATCGTGCTACGATGGAGGAGACAAGCTTGTTCATTTCATTTCGCGCCCGAACTATGAGCACTAAAGTAATAAGGTGGAAGCAATACATTTCATGAGCTCCAGAAAATCGAAATTTCGCCGTTTTAAAGCTAGTAAACTTCAGCCTTGTAGAAAAGCACCTGTAGACTCTGAAGGCTTCCACTGCGACTACTAAAATTTACGACGAAATGACATATGCTGCTTGAAAACTTATTTTTGGAATGCATGGCTCCTATAAAGGTCACGTCGACGCGTATCTTTTATGCGCGGTGAGGAGCAAATAACAGATGCTTTCAAGGTGATGCCAAGAATAATAATAAGAGAAAGTCCGAAGTTTCGTCACGTGTCAAATATAGAACATTTCAAGTAGTCACGCATATGCGAAGGTAACGATTGCCGGGAGGGTCGAGTTGTGCGTCTTAACCCCTGCCAGCACTATACGTGAACAGTTAGCAAGCGTGTTCCATATGAAGGAAAGCCCATGAAAACGGTATTGATTCTAAAACTTTTCAAACATTTAAAAAAGGTTGGGCTTTTATGTAGATTCTCAACGGAAATTCTTGAACGATACGAGAGGATCAAGCTACACAGTCGTTGTTCTAATGTATTTTAAGTCCTATTAGCTTTAAGGTACTTTAAAAGCAAAAAAATATATTCAAGGAAAAGGTTTATTCCATGGAAGAGATTGCACACTGAAGAAGGCTTATGTATAGAAATCTTTTTCTTTTTAATTGAACGTATACATTGTAGAATGCTAGAACCTCTCATCGGGAATATAGGTATCCATCCGCGTTTCCACTGCCCATGCGTATTCTCCATCGTGAGGATCAAGCGAGAAAGACTACAATAAATATTTTACATAGTCTAGTAATTTATGCGGTAAATTCCTGTCGGTCAGTTCATTTTTCTTGTCCTTTTCTCTCTTTTCATTCAGCAATGACTCACTCTCAATCTATGCTCAACAGCAATACTATTTTTTCGTTTTACTTCACCAACACCGTCCTCGGATTGGAAGGCGGGATTCTTTTCTTGTGTATAGAAGTTGTATTCATAGTAGAAAATAGCCATCAATGCAAACACGAAAATAACGGCACACATGGCTCCTGAAGTATCTGCGTTAGTAGAAAAAAAATTGTGTGGTATAGCGATTTCAATATGTCTTATTTGTTAGAGGTTCCTAGGCTTAGCTCTCAAGAGCATGGATTGAAGGTAACCTCAATCATTTATCAAGCATTATATTACGCGCTTAATTTCTTTTTCACTGACATATCCAACAAGAGAAAATTTTTGCTAAAATATCAACTTTGGAAAAAAGAAGGGTTATTGCTCCAGTATAACTTTCTGCTCCTAAAGAATTGTGTCCTACTAATAATGGGGCGTTACAGAACATAAAATGACTGTCAGCTATGAAAAAACCTACCAGCATATGCGAAGAATTCGGTCGCCATGTTAGAAAACAGATTAAGCGCCGTGATTAGAACGATGATAGAATCACCAATGGCAGTGGTCAGCAACCAAAGTGCTTGTACAAGAGCTTTCATGGACGGTGCTGACTGTAAAATGCTATTAAATACGGCGCCTGAAATTTAGAAATGCAATTCGTCAGGAATTTTTTGGCGAAGACCAGATTGTTTTTCTTCGTCAATTTTTATAATATTGTCTCATAGTAACTGTATTCACATCTACTATACGCATCCCAACTCTGCGTGCATCCGACTGCTTTCCTCACACCCATCGTTAACGAAGGTCTCCCAATTTCTGTGCTTGGGTTAGGCTATTTCTTAAGGATTATCGTCTTCGTTACGACTGTCATTGATTTCTGGTCGAATTGATTTTCCCTGATTCCTGTGATAACTATCCCTCTGCGTTCTCAAGTTGGGTGGAAAGGTTAAGCTGAGCACAGATAGCTCTCGTACTATGTTGTTGACTCCGAAAGGATAAGTGGGCTACCAAGCATGCGACGGGGTTCAATCTCAACTGCGTTCGTGATAAACAAGCATCAACGCCATTGCGCTTTCTGAAATAGAAATTTATAAAACTATTTTTTCTATGCAGATGAAATCAATCTCCATCGTTCACCACCTTATTAAGACGAAGTGTTCGTAGGCGAAAAAATAGGATGTGGAGTTAGGAAATTTATCCGTGAGAAGTGGAATTGCGTAAGTCGACACAGAGCCCGGGCGTTTCATCCGAAGGCTGAGCTATGCTGACAAAACCTCAGGAATTGAAGCTTTTTGGCAGAAATAGTTGCCACATGGTAGATCCCCTAATACCTATACCATGGCAACAACGCCCAGACCCTTTTCTCATCCAGAAAACTTATTCAACAAAAAACAGCCAGTAGAGTAGAATTTTGACCACTTGAGCCTGAAATTCATGAAGACAAGCGCAAGTGTGCAAATGTGCATGTTAATAAAGTAAAAGCACCTGTGAGTAAGCAAATTCGTAACCAGTAATAGAAAAAAGAATTTCAGCAACAGTAATTATAACGATTTGCGGTATTTGCCATAGAATAGATACAGAATTTGGTTCCACCACTTGGTTAATATGCTTTGTTGGTTGATCCTAAACTAGCGAAAATTATTTTTGTGATTTTCTGTAGTTGAAGGAATCTATGGAGAACCTACAACATTGCTGGAAAAGTTTCGATTTTGTTGCAAACCTTCGATCCGGTAAGGGCCAAAACGTACACGGCACCCTGCTCGTGAACTTCCATCCAGACACCAGTGGCCTTCACAGTAATGTTCGTCTTCGGTGGTGTTTTCGAACCAACGTTCTTTGGAGTTCCATCCAAATAGTATAATTGCCATCGGAAAAAAAGCTTTTTTTAAACTATGTTTTCTGATCACATATCGTTTCAACGATGTCATACCTAGCACAATGAAGAGGCAGATAATGATTACATGACGTCTGATTGTGAGAGGAGTCTGTCACTGGTGCTTAGAAAACCGTTTTAGCGAAAGAGGAAAAGTGCAATGCGAACAGTACGAAAAGATACCTCATCAAAATTTTGAGATGTGGACAAAGTGCAGGTATTAAATTCTAATGAGCTTTGATAAAATTCTCATTTCTAAAAAGAAGATAGCAATAAAAAGACACTTTTTGTCTTCGGAATTCATACGCAATTTCACACATGAAATAACCCGATTTTTGAAGCCTAAACATCTGATTTGAACGAAGAATTTCGCCTCGAATTGTTCCACCGATCTGTTCACAATCATTTGATAACGTTCCGATTTTCAGCTACTTAGTGAAAAACCTTGTCGAAAAGAAATGTGCTCTTCTATTCTTATCTCTCAGTACAAGGAAGAGAAGGACTGGTACTAAAGGAGGAACCGTTCCCCTTCTTACTAGGTCCCAGTCATAGAAAAAAACTTTCTAATTAAAAGCATTCTTCAGTACACCATCAATATCTTTGAAAACTAAGTGCTAGTTTTACATTAACTTTAAAAACTATTTTAGTTTTTAAATCGAACAAATTGAAATGTTTAGCTGTGCGCCATTTCTTGGACTGCATCTTGTCTACTTTTTAGGTAAATACTTTAAGTACCAATTGCTATGACTTTAAATTTTCTATGTGTTTCTATGAAAAGTGGAATAGCAAAACGGGATCAATTTCCTTAATCCATCGCAGAAACGGCGTTCAAATGTTTGTTTTTCGAAGCCTATATACATCACTTGTGATTTACAAATGCTAATTCTTTTTTCGTTAAAAGTTAGAAGAGTATTAAATACCAGAACTTATAGTTAACAACTTTTAATTGATGGGTCTCCGGTCCATTCACACGGATTACTTGCTAGCACACTTCAGTGATATCTCACCTGGGAAGTATTCTGACTCGCCGAAACGCAAGCCTACGCAGCGCACCTCCATTCGCCGATGGGGTATGGTGCACCGACCAAGATGAGCGGGTATGCTTTCACAATGGGACACGCACAGATTCAACGGATAGACTTATTTTTCTTAACGATCTTTGCCTTCTATAAAAAACGTGTTTATATTTGTAGGTGTTATGGGTATATGTAATGTATCTGGTACATGGATTCGAGTAAAAGCGACTAAACAACACATGTGGAGGAAGCAGCTTACGGTCGTTTCTGAAGATAAGCCCTACCTTACTAGAAAAGTCTTTCAGTGCGTATAGCAATGCACCTGGGCAAAATCCTCTACCAAAATATGTTAAAAATAAAATCCTCTGTAGGCTTTCCAAACAAGGAAAGCTTATTGGAAATCTAGGGTGGGAACGGGAGGGAATGGAGAATTCATTTTTGCCGGTTTGATTCACTGAACGGTTGACAGAAATACATTGGTAGAGGCAATACCAAAGACCCATCGACGTTGGTCAGGTGAAAGGGTTAAATATCCTATAAAGGTTAGGGCCGCCATATTGCACTTTAATATAACCCTCTCATGGAACCACTTGTCGTAGCGTTTGAAGACACAACTTTAATAAACATCCCATCCTTGATTCAATCTTAACTAATAGGTTACCTAACCGTTCAGGGCTGATAAATCGTTCCATAATTGCCTATGAGGATGAAAACATTGACATAGCAATAATTAGAAAGACCGATTTCCACGTAGTTTCGGCGTGAATACATAACAATAGCTTAAGAACTATCTCTGTTCAACGTAATACGAGGTTGCTGCTGACTTATTGGCTTATTGATTTGCTTCCTCGGTAACCCACCCGTAAGAAAAGTGCATAGTGCATTCCGAAGGAATTAAGTACCGTCATGCTCACTTTTTATCCTCACTCCTAACAAGACACGTATAACAAATTATATGATATGCTATAGCTTACTTTCCAGGTTTCACCGGCTTGAAAACATATTCCACAGCGTAGTCTGTCGAATTTCCCTTAGCAGTCATGTAAGTGGAGTTGGCTTTTCGATCATCGGTTCCACCATCATAGTTAGTCTCCCAATAGTAGAAATCTGATGGACTACGTGGATTACAAGGATGTGCCGGATCAAAGTCAGTGGCATCCATTCGGCACATTACAAGATTTCCATCGTACCTTGGAGTTGTTGCGAGCACGACTCTGTATAAGGAGCAGGTGAAATAGATCTCGAGGAAGATATAAATAGGCAGAAAGACTGCGCAAAAGGCAATCAAAATTCAATATTGATAGTTGGTTTGCCTACATTTGCACTGAACCGCAGAATCGCCAGATTTATTCTCTGCAGACCAAAAAAACACACTCCAATATATTTCCGAACCACCATCGCAGTCATTCACCGGCCTTTGCAAATCGCAGTTAGGTGTGCCACCCTAAGACTCTCTACTAGGTGGTAGTCACTCGTGGCACTCATTTATGAGGATATCAAACATCAAGCAGGATATGGATGGAGATATCAAACATTTGCATTGTTCGAAAGACCTTGTTTCAGTGATAATCAGCTGTAAATCAAAGTTGAACAACTAGCATTTCCGGCTAGGAAAACGCGGTAAGCCGTAATGAGTTTTTTTTACGTGACGTCTCATCAAATCTACTGTGCGTTTCGTGTTTTTTTCGGCTATTACACAAAGGTTTCATGTTATTATGAATGTCGCAGAATATTGGTTGAGTCGATTCTGCTTGTAATCTTGGAGGCAGCCGAGTTCAAATAATTCGTATTTCCCACATGGATTAGATAAGTGCGTTAGGGATGGGGTCAAAGCAGAGCCTTGTATCCTGACGGAATGCATCACTAACCACTGCGCAACTCCTCTTCCTAGTGGGTTTTACCGCGACATGGGTTAAAATCTATGAATTTATTTCATTATCTTTGTTGGCAAAAAGAAAGCCGGCGAAATCCTATATGGAGAAAATCGTTATCTTCTAGTGCTTTACTTAGTTATTTAATTTTGGTAGAAAAGAAACTATCTAGTTGGTACTGAATTGCTCGGTACTAATAAAGAAATGCTCCAATATTCGTTAGAGATAACAAAATCTTTTCAATAGAACTTCATGTGCACTGCAAAAGCACGATTTAAATGTGGAATTGATATCCGCACCCTAAACTGAATTCTCCGGTTCCTTGTGTTGGTTTTGATGGGTTTGCCGCACCTTGATAAACACCATTCGGACAGATCGCAACATAGTAAATTTTTGTCGTATTCAGTTTAACGTCTATTGATTTCGGTAAATCCTAAAATTGGTGGTAATTTAGACATACCTTTCAGTTTTTAAATTTTTAAGCAGATTTAAATATTATGCTTGTAGATGCACCTTATATGTGTTTGCAGAACAGCCTGAGTAGTCAAGTTTAACAGGAACTGTCCAGGTTTTCGTCGATGAGGTAGGTGCTTTCAAATGCATGGAAGTTTCGCTGGCTTCACGGCTGTCAACATTTGACTACAAAATGATTTGACCATGGCCTTGTTAACAGTAGAATCGTTCACTGCTCATACTCCCAAAATTTATGTCTTTACGGAAAAAAGCTAACCACATTCGGTGCAATGGTGAAAGGACTATGACCATCGAAAGTGACCGTTACGGTACAATTGTTCAACTGATTCCACATACTGACATAGGCTTCATCAGAACTGGGCAAATTTGGAAGAGTTTTCTAAAACTGTGGTAACACTTTAATGATCTAATTAATACTCTATCCCACTGACGGGTGATTGCTGATGGAAAAGACCGATAGAACTAGCTGAGAGACAGGCGAAACGAAGGACCCGCATGGTGTGGTGGTGAACGCGTTGCTCCCCGGAAAGGACAATAGCGCGTTCATTTCCCACCGCAGACACCTGCAGTCCGGAGTTTTGCAAATATCTCAGCATTATAGTAGTTATATTTCGCAATATATATCCTGCCGTTAAAAAGAGTAGGCCGTAAGTAATAAGCTGAAATTATAGTAATACTGTTCCGTTATTCGTTTTACTCTTTTTAAAAATGTTTTTCGAGTTTTCTTGGCAAATAGGCAAAATTTTTTTAAAAAGCTTATAAAATAAGATTTACGTTGACGCTAATCTGCACAAAACCAGCGACGGCAAGTGAAAGCGATGCGAGTAGTCCACCAGCTACCATTTTTCGCAAGGGCCTGAAATGAATTCCATTGGAACAACCATTGATTTAATAAACAAGAATTTTTCGATGTTGCATAAGGTTTTAGTAGCGCTAATTCATCCTTTTCTGCTTTGTTCTATGTTACACTTGTAGCCTATCTTAACGAAGCACGAAGAGTCATGCACGATCCATCACAAATTCCACTGACTGGTAACTTTCCGATTTTGTGAAATTCTTTCTTCTTGGAGTTTCGAAAGCAGCGCTAGGGCATTCCCACTTCGTCAATCCTTGCTAACTAACAACTATACGGAACCAGAACAGCAGCGACTCTTGGCGCTGGTTCACTTTTAACTGTTTCCGGACAGAGATGTCAAATTTTCTCTAGCAGTCGTACACAGTGCTAGCGAGCTAGCGAGATTAACCTTTGCTGTACATTGCAATTCCACATGCAGGAACACCATGAAGCCACAATAAGGTGCTAACCTATGGAAGGCTTATGAAAACAAAGAAGTAGCTAATTCAAACTAGATGCCGTTGTGTTTCCTTGAGAAAACGAATCAAAAGTAAAGGTGATTATATAAAGGATCGCCTACGTGATGGCAAAGCATTTAGCAATCAATGGGTAGATGATAATCTGAAAGAGTGGGATGAACAATAGAATCAAAACGGCGTTCAACGTTTGCATTTGATCGGGAAGAAGAAGTAGATTCCCGAAAAGTCGGCAATCCATCTGAATACCTGAAAATATCCACTTTAGAGATACGAAAAAAAACCGGCCTTTAAAAAACATCAAAGCGGAAAATACAAAGATTATATCGTCAACTCTTCCTACCCTGAATTAACCAAATAGAACCTTGTTGGTCGTACAATGCCCAGAACATTGGCACAGGAAGAAACATAATAAGAACTCGAAGGAGTGATTTCACGTCGTCCAAAAATTTTTTCTAAAAACTCTAACGAATTATAAGGAAAAAATTGCAAGAACAAATGATTGCGAATTGAAAAAAAGGAAAATTTTGAACTAAATGCTAGAAAAAAAGGAGCCGAACCAGAATCATAGCATGTAGATGTTTTTTTAACAAAAAAAGGAAAAAAGCAAAAAGAAGTTTGGTAAACATCCACCTTATTTTTCTAAGAACCGACTTTGCTCCACTCTTCACAGAATGTTCCCGAATAATGGGAAATTAGTGAGAAAAGTCGACAGAGTTTAGGATACGAGATGTCTCGATTATGTAGCAGCATATATATATATATACATATATATATATATATATATATATATATATATATATAGACATATTTATGGCGCGTATGACGCAGTGGTCGCAGGTGCTCGATCTCTGCGCCCGTAGCTCACCAAGCCTTCTTTCGCTCCGGAGTCTGCAAATCGGTATCGGACTTGTGTGGGAGGATAGCAGCACTGGTTGGATAGATCGGTAGGCCACCGCGAGCCATTGTAAAGGGCGGATATGCATTTACAATCCAACCATTCCAATCCAACAATTACCTCCAACCAAGCTTAACGAAGTCGAATAAATGACGCATCCCACAGGGATTGATTAAGGCCGAGAGCTCTATCCTTTATTTATCCTTTATATAAATATTTAACGAAACATGTAGAAAAAATTAGTCTCGTCGATTTTAATTAGAAAAAATTGCCTACCTTTTGACAAGCTTCTTTATTTCCAACTTCAAGACGATAATTGAGGCATCTAGAATCGAGAGTTGAAATTTTTGAAAATTTCATTCATTTTTATGGTTTTTGCCACTAGTGACAGTTTCCTATCGAATTCTAGAGATAATCAAATAATTACTTCAAATCACTTTCGCAAACATGTGTATCCATGTAGTTGTCTAACCAGTGTTCCTTCTTAGTCTTTGATTTGCACTTGTTGGAAAGGGCTCGCTAGAAGTGAGTGAGATAAATGCATTAGTTACAGTAACTGACCTTTCCTTAATAATGAAGAAGGTTCAGCTAAATCAACTACACCAAACGAACACGATGTTTGAGTTCAATGAAGAACATGAGCGCAACAAAACCGAGAAAACACTATGGGTATTGAGTGCAGTCATGAGTCAATTAATACAGATCTTTTGTATGCCATCATGTTAAGCGCAGAGTATTGTAGTGCACCAACCCCAAACACTCGAGCGACCTCTCCAAACACGTTTTCTTTTGGAGGTGGCTTCTTGTACCAGAACGATCCGGCCATAAACAAACCTGTACACGTGCAATAACTTTCAATGAAATCGTTTATAATCTTATTGCATTGCATGCAATGCGCGCTAATCAATCGCTGCTGTTAAGTCAAAGTGAAATGATCATTACATGTTGCGAGAACCATTAAAATTGCTGGGATTCCAAATGCAAGAGGATAACACGAATCTTGACCGAGACATGGCTGAGCTAAAATAATATTAAACAACGTGCAGACTTTTCACGGATAATGATTATTGTAGACATACATCTGAATATTGGCGAAATAAAAGTAGATATCATTGAGCCTGCGTTGATAGAGAAGTAAAACATGGAGAAAAACAACGACAGCATTCTTTCCTGAATATGAGTTCATGTTCGTTTTGAAGATTGAGAGTGAAAAATGGCTGTAAGATATAGAAAAATACTGCTTCTTTAAACGTTACCTATTATTAACATAATGAGAGTTCTATAGGAAGAAGTTTGGCCAGGCTGTCTTCGGAATTACAGGAAACCACAATGGCTTAACCAGCAAATCTCCGAAAAATGGTGATTATGCTGGGGCCCGCACTAGTGAGGGCGCGCAGTTCAAGTGTCAAGTAAGTGTAAAGAGAAGTGTCCTCCTAACGATTCACTGCCTCATCGCGCCTGAGAGGTGTTCCTGGGTATTGGGCTGCGATGTACAACAGTGGAATTCATCCCCTGGCAAGGTCTCCCAAGCCAAGAAGGAATCCTGTGTTTCCATCAAGAAGCCTTAGTGAATGTTTTTTTTTTCACAGGATTCACCACCGTCCTGGCATCAGAGTCCTATGGCGGCAAATCTCCCTCTGAGCCACAAGGGCCGTGACTGCTTGTGATGGTGACGACCTGGGGCAAACTTTGGTTAGGCTGATTTCAGGGAACCACAATGGCTAAATCAGCAAATCTCCGAAGAATACATAATACGCTGGAGTCCGCACAACCAGTGCGGGCAGGTCATCCCGGTATCCAAGTAAGCGTATAGAGAAGTGCTTAATCGTAACATCAGCAGATTGATTGGTTTTGCTGAGTTTCAGAATCAAACGTGTAAATAGCAATGTCGAATGGTATATTTTAAGTAAAAAAAAAACAAATTCGAATCTTCTAGAAAACGAGTTCGTATGCACTGCAGTAGAACGATACTGGTAGTGTCACAGAATTGAATGTTTCCGTTGCAACACACACCTGACCAATTTCAAACTGATCTCCTCCAAAAGCTGACACACAAGGCTTTATACCACCTGTTCCAAAGCCAATAATAATCAAACCTGCCAGGTCCATCCATCTGAAAATGGGCAGTTAAGGAATTTGAAGAAATAGCTTTCTCACTTTACTCACACCATCTCTAACAAGACGTGACAAGTAAACCTCAGTGCAAGCTTTGCTTATCTGGACGAATTCCATTGTAGTCGTAAGCTTTGACAAAAATGTCACTTTTTTCACTGTCACAATGTCACAAATTCACTTTTTTTCAACTACGAATTTTAAAAGAATAAATAGTGTAACTGCTGAACGAAAGAAATAGGCTGTAACAACAAAATAAGACAATTTCAAATCTGAAAACTTACGGATGGATTTTTGATTCCTTATCTTTGATAGACGCTAGAGCAAGAATAACTTGACCACAGGCATACAATATGGAAACAAAAAATATAGTCCTAAAATTATTCTTAAAATTTCCTTTCTCTCCTCCTACTTACTTTAATAAAATTGGTGAATCTGAATATCACTGTGCCATAATACACAGGAAATACTCCTTTTCATCTCTAGTTTTGCTTTATTTTATTCCGTCTACATATGTAAAGCCTACAGTAGAGTTCCAAACTAAACGGTGAAATTCCTAAGATTAACTAAATTTGAAGTGTCTAACGTATAAAATGTATCAAGAGTATAGAACAACAATGATGCTGAGACATATGTAAAACCTCAACCCCCAGCCAGATTCGAGTCCTAGACTACTTTTAAAGAGGGCTCTCGTGTTAACCACTGCACCACTAACACTCTTGATTTGCTTTTATTTCAATCAGCTTTCTTCCTAACGCTGGGATCAGCAATCACTCTCCAACGGGACTTATTTGACGAGCATAAAACGGCACTAAACCCAATTAAACTGAGGGTGTAGTCGAAACCACAATGTTCACTTTTTTGTTTACTGCCTATTACAATTTTTCACGGCTGGGTATACTGTGAAATATAACGACAATGATGCTAAGATCTTTGCAAAACTTCGGCCCGCAGGGTTCTGCGGTGAGAAACGAACGCGCTATTACCCTTCCCGGAGATTAACGCGTTCACTACCACACCATTCGGGTCCTTCGTTTCGTCTGTCTCTCAGCTAGCTTTTCTATATACCACTGCCATAGGCAATCACCCGTCAACGGGACTGAAATGGGAAGCACAAATCGATATTAACCCAATTAAGGTGAGGCTGCATTCCAAATCACAATGTATAACTTTTTATTTGCTGTATATCGATTTTTCACGGCACGATGCTGAGATATTTGCAAGACTAAGATCACAGGCCGGATTCTTCCTTCCTTTTTCTACCAATCTTTGCCTTGAAAAAACAATATGAAATAAATTAGTTAAATTAAGGGGCAGATAGCATAGTGGTAGTGATGTCAACCATCATGAGCAGGATGCTAGTTTGATCCCACACCGGGTTCATTAAACCTCTCGTCCCTCCAGAGTCGGGAAATCAGCACCGGACCTGTTCGGGAAGAACCGTTCTCTAGAATCCAGGTAGGAATGCTCCAACCCGGCTATCTCAGGACTCTAGCGAGAATCGAAATCACTAGCATTCTACGACATTCGAGATGAAATGAAAATCCTCAAGCAACAGTCGAAACAACACGTAAAATTTGAAAGAGCTTAGTGGATGATGGATGCGAGGAAAGAAATCGAATGAGAGAATTGCTGGGATCCGCACAGATGTGAAAGTTGGGTCGCATAAAATAGCAGTAAAAAATAAAAACGAAATGTTATAAAGTGAGGCAGTCCCACTCGTAACAGCATGGCTCTGAGGAAGGTGAAATCGCCGAAACATCAGCCATCGACAAAACAACAATAACAGCAACAATAACAAGAACAACGACAGCAATAACTTATACAAGCTTCACATCAGCTCAACAAGATCAGTTCATAAGGACACAAATAAAATGTTACACATTGTGATTTCAGCTAAAGCCTCAACTTAACTGGGTTCATTGCAAAATTATGCTTCTTCCCGTTAACGGATTGCTGGTAGCAGCGTGAGGGGAAAAGAGTGACCGAGAGACAGACATATCACTGGCCTCACTGGTGTAGTGGGTGGCACGTGTTCTCTAAAGCTCTCGGCTTTGATCAACCCCTACAGATGCCCTATGCATTTTGTTTCATTAAGGATCGATGAAGGTAATTAAATGCATATCTGGCCCTTACAATGACTCACGGTGGCGTATCGTTATATCGAGCAGAGTGCTGTTATCCTCCCAGACAAGTTTCTTTTAATTTGCCAACCCTGAAGGGATGGAAGGTTTGGTGGGCCAGGGGCGCTGGAATCGATTCCATGTGTATGGCAGGGCGCCACTTAACACTGCCCCACCCGTGCCCATAGCACTTGAGATGTCGGAAGAGGTAACCGCGGGTTTGAATCTCTCCTGTGGTCTGAGTTTAGCAAACATCTCAGCATTATAGTGGACGTATTTCACATAATAATCTTCCATGAAGAAATAATAAGCAGTAAGTGAAATGTTACAGTTAATGAGATATTGTAATAATAGTTTCATTATTTTTTAAGTCAAAATTGTGGTAATAAGCCAAAATTGTGATTATAGCTACAGCCTCAGTTTAACTGGGTTCGTTGCCGATTTGGATTCTCCAGATCAATCCCGCTAACGGGTGATTGCTAACGACAAAAGATCGATAGAATTAGCTGAGAGACAACCGAAACGAAAGGACCTCCATGGCGTGGTGGTGAACGCGTTACTCCCCGGAAAGGACTACAGCGCGTTCGTTCCTCACCGCATACACTTGCAGCCCGGAGTTTTGCAAATATCTCAGCATCATTTAAAATAGTTTCATTACTAAGATTTACTAATAACACTCCAGAAAACATCACCAAAGCTTAGAGAATTACCCATACTGATGAATTATACAACAGGGACAATTTTTCAACACGTGATATGTTATCGATGTGTTTTTAAAATAAGCGGAACAAATTTTTCAAGTCAAACTGTATGAAATAGCGTGCATGCAGTTGATTATGGTACTTCACTAGTTTGCAAAGGCACGTGTGGTTCAGTGCTTGAAGGCGCCCTGCAACACACAAGTGGAGTCGATCCCTGCTCCTATGTCCAACCAAGCCTTCCATCCTTCCGCGGTCGGCAAATTGATACCAGACTTGTCTGGGAAGACAGCAGCTCGATACATCGCTAGGCCACCACGAGTCATTGTAACAGCCAGATATGCAATCAGTCGCCTCCAACGGCACTTAATGAAGTCGAATGCATGGCGCATCCCTCAGGGATTGAGCAACACCGAGAGCTTTATCCTTTTACTAGTTTGTAACATTTTCTGGGAATAAATATGAAGTTGGTAAAAGGTGCCTACTCACCGAAATTTCCCAATATAACCGTCAGCAAGAATTGAACCAAGTAATGGCGTGATATAGCAGAGAACAGTGAAGCCATTAAAAAAAACAGTAGACTGACTATCGTTGAATTTGAGGACGTTCAACAGATACAAAATGAGGACCGCTGAAAATCCGTACTATTCTGTTATTGCTTTCGACTATCGGATTAAATGCTCTGATTTTTTCCTTTTTCTGAACAACTTAACTTTCTCACTTTTTCCGCCATTGTAAATTCTTTAACGCCAAAAAAGTACTATACGCGACATCTACACTTTTCTCTGAATGGGACTTCTTATCGATTTTATGAAAATGAAAAAATGGATTCATATGAAAATCGTTTTAGTTTTAGCATTAGTGAAACGACAACAGCAAATGTGAACAAATGAAATCAAATCAGTAAAATTTAGAGATTCATTGTTCATATCTTTCATAGTAATGTTAATATACATAGTAAAATTAGTAACGGACTAAAAATGTCCAAGTCAATGAGGAAAATCGTCAAAAATTTTTTAAGAAAAAATAACTGTGACAGGTTTAGGTTGCTAAATTCAAAGATTATTCTACTCATCTCCTCCGTTCAGATTTTGTTTTCTCATTCCATTCATTCGGAAAAAATACGACAGAAGTTTTCTAAAGGCTTACTTCTCATTCCATAGTACGAGAATCGTTCACAGAATTCGTTTGACACAATGCATAATGTGGTTTTAGGCCAATGTCGTATCATCTCTCCCCATGTGGTGTACATCTCCTTCTTCAGTTCGGGTGACATCTCGATTTCCGGTTCATTATTACCATCTGAATGATAGGCTATTTACTATTTTTTTTCCTTCTCCATTCTCATTTGTTTCTCTGCTATTCATATTATTTAGCTATTCTCAAAAACGTACTTGCAGACTCAATGTTACACGTTATAGATAAAGGAATGCACAACTAAATCCAATTTTCAAATTTTAAGGACTTGAAATCTAATCATAACTCCACTTAAGACAAATAGAGAATTCAAGATAAACAGCTTAAGCTCAGAACCAAACAGCGTGTGTCGGAATTCCCTTCATACAAACACATAACATCAACCTTACTTCAATACAAGGTCGCTAGATTTGCTCTATCTGAATATTGAGTCGGTTCAATTTGCCATCTTATCAGTATTCAATAAGGTTATCAAGCAAATTCACTTAGAAGGGAGAAAAACGATACCAAAAAAAGGCTACAACACATTTATGCTGAGGAAATTGAAACTGAGGATTGCGAAAAGCCTCATTCTAACGGTGAAATAGAAATTACTTTTACAGAACTAATTTTGCAAAAACTGACAAACCCACATACTTATGAATATCACACCATATTCTTACCGTAATTTTCCACACAGATGATTTAAGAAAAGTTTTGCACTCTACTCATCTGTTGAGCTTTTCAATATCGTACCTAGTGACAATGTTAGTATAGGAGGATTACTGTAAAGAGCGAAAGAAAGGCAAAATGATTCGGTTGGCATCTAATAGTAGAATTAGATCGTAGTCGTAATCGACAAGGTGGTGTTAAGGTAATCTAAATACTAACCTCTCGTGCTCGATCGCTTTTTGTCGACCATTTTGGGCAGCTTAATCGTTACGATGCGTGCCTGTTGTATTGGTTGGGGTTTTGTTTTTGGTGACGATGTATGAGGCAGGCGGCTGAATCAGGAGTAACTAACGTTCGTTATCTTCAGTTGTGACGACAGACCAACATGTGTCAGACACCATTGGCCTATGCACTTTTAAATCAAACCATGTGTGCTGTGAAAGTAAAATATATATAGTAAAAAAATAAATTATAATATCCTTTGCTAGTATATAATTATATACATATAAATGTATATATGCATATATATATATATATATAGTACCAAAGGAATACGAAAACGGTAAGAAGAGATCTACCAGTTATGCTGCGCAACTATGCGCTTCGATAAAAACCAATCATTACAGGTGTAGGTAACATTCGCCGCAGATAATTTAGAGACGCTGCATTAGTCTCTGTTGTTAACACAAAAGCATTTCAACTTTTATTAACGCACTGAACTTTGTTCCCCTTGTTCAACAGCGTCACATAACGGCATCACGCCGTTGACGCGACCTCAAGCCCATTAATGGTGTCGAATGTTTGTTGATCTCCAATCAATATCTCATTACACTTGTTGAATCGTGCAGCGATTATTTTATGACATAGTCCTTAGAGGACAATAAAAACGTTGGTTTATGGTTCGGTTAGTTAACACTGATAAGCGTAAGAAAAGCGAATTTATTGCTCTTCAAATCTCATCATTTATTTCTACACATTTAAAATTAGTCATTAACAATTTCAATTAATATTATGAAAATAGCATGAGAGAAGTGACTTGATACTGTTTGCTAGCTTTGGAGTTATTATGTATTCTATACACTTTGTGAGTCTGAATTTGGACACATAAACCCAATCCAAAACATAGAAATACACTAATTATAAAATATTGCTCAGTAATTCTTAGCGTTCTTGTTGAACAAACGCGAGGTGTTACTTTTATTCCTTATTCATGAATAAGCTGACGTTTCGGCGGATTTCGCCTTTCTCAGAGCCTGGAAAGGTCAAGTTGACAGTAATCTAATCGGCCAAACAGGCTTGTTGGTGAATAAAGAATAAAAATAACACCTCGCGTTTGTTCAACAAGAATACAAAGAATTAGTTGATCAATGCCGAAGTTAATAGAAAGTCGGTCGTGCGAGTTACTGCAAGATGTGCCAGCGAGATTCTTCCGACTTGTAAAGGAAGCGCTGTCACTTAGACAGAAGATTATCTTAGCTTGACCGTCAACACACTTTTTCCGCTACTGTCCAAAACATCGAGTCGTTTCGAACTTCATCAAACGAAGACGACTACACGACGTATGCGGACAACCAGAGAACAGTCACCGAGTATTGGACATCGAATTGCGAATACTAAGCACCTGTCTACGAAGCCGACAAAACCAGATGTTCGCCAAGTGGAAGAAGTGCGAGACGAAGGAAAACTTTTGAGCTTCGTATTTGGAGGACCGCCTCTGAAGGAAAATAGTTGGTAGGTCAGTGCTGATTTGCAACTCTATTAGGTCTAATGCTACAGTAACTTTGCGGAAAAAATTCGAAGACCTTTTGAGTAAATCGCATAACACAGCTTCAAGAGCGCACGGAAATACCACTAACGAACATCAAACAGGTTACAGTAGAATAAATAATGTGCAAAAAAAATTCAAGGTCAACCGTGTTAGGAGGCATGACCCTCCCTGACGGTGTGCGATCGTTATTAGAATTGGGACTGAGTTTCTCGCCATCTGAACCGATTTCCAAGATAACCTTGCATAGGGTCGCATGTAGTTTACATGAACTTCAAGATAGACTCCGCAAAAAAGCTAGAGATGCAACGCAAAATAAGCGCGAACAACATCAAGTGGGGGCCCTACAAATGGCACCATTTCCCCCGACGTTCTTTAGACAACAAGAGCCCAATAATGAAGTTGATGTTAAATTTCGGATGTTTACGAATGAAACTCTCAAAGTCCTTAAACACTGTCGCGTGGAAAGATACAGCTTAAACCTCACTGAAGTGCAAAAACGTGGTATGCGAGAGGTAAAAGAGCTGATAAGATTGAAAAACATAAGACTATCCGTTAGTGATAAGGGTGGAGTGTTTGTTGTAATTTCCCAACAGTTAGATGTTAAGATAACTAAAGAACAGCTTGAAGATGCTTCACTTTATCGCCCATCATCTAAGAAGGAGTTTAAAAGTAAATACCGAAAATTGAACCACGAATAGGCCAAAATGGCAAGGGCTGCTGGTTTGAAACCATCAGTTATCTCTCAACTAAAACTGACTTACCAATACGTCCCGTCATTTACTTGCTCATAAAGACTCATAAGTTACTATCCAGCGATGATCTTGCGTCTACCGATCCATCATTGTTTAACGTTAGACCTATCATTAGCTGTGTAGACGGGCCAACGGAAAGGACAACATGGTTTTTAACCCTAATATTCAACCTATTGTTGAAACACATTCCAGCCTATCTTAAGAATACCAAGATGTTTCTGGATCGTCTACGTACTGCGCAGCACTGCAGCACGTACGTGATGGAGTCCTTCGAAGTTACCGCCCTTTACACAATCGTGTCGAATGACTCCGCAATGCAAGTCATATTCGAACTCCTTATACAGCACAAAGAAGAAACAAACATGTATGACTTTAAGAGAGCAGTTGATGGCACTCTTAAAAAAATGCTCATTCTTCAGATGGTCCGGAAAGTACTGCGCCGAAATAGGAGGGTTGACAATGGAACGACTGGCGCCAAGTCTTGTCATTGCGTTTATATCTAAGGTGGAAGCACCAGTGACCGATCTCGGTCGTTACTCTACTATAGATATATAGATGACTGTTTTGTCCCTCGCTCAACACAAGAGGAAATGGACAACTGTTTCGAGTTGTTAAATGCACAGTCGGAGTATATCTAGTTCGCCCGAAAAAAGCCGAAAGATAAGTGGCTTCCATTCCTAAACGTCCAAATTCATCTGTCAGAAAATGGCTACAATACAAAGTGGCACCGAAAGCCAAGTATTAAAAACATCTTGGTTCATTACCCCTCTTCTCACCCCTCTCACACGAAAAGGGCACTTGTGAGAAACATATTTCACACAGCAGCCAACTTGTGCACGGGAAGAGAGTAGAGAGAGGAGTCCCGGAACTTAGCACGGCAAGTAGTCATTTCTAACGGCTACGAAACTGTAGCTTGGGATTGGTGTAGGGAAAATCCTAGGCCCTCGAACGGCAACTTTAGCGATAAAATGCTCCCAGTTAGTTCGTAACCACTATACGATCTTCCTCACATAGGAATCCAGAACACAAGTGCGCAAAATTGTCGAGGCGTTCTGGATTAATTCCAGAAAACCGAAAATGAATAGCAGGGAAGAATGCCCCTTTATCACGCGTGATATTGGAAAATATGCAGGCCTGTTATTCTGATGGGAGAAGCACATTACGCTTCCATGTGAATTCTGTGCGGTTGGTCACCACGCTACATACTCAGTGGAAGACTCATAGAAAGCGGTGTGTGCGAAGAAGCTATAATGTGTTCAATTTGATTAAAATTTTGGTTTAGCGTTTTCTCTGTTTGGCTATAGAGGTGTTTGGCTGAATAGTTTGTTGTCAACTTAACCTCTCGGGGCTCTGAGGAAGGCGAAATCCACCGAAACGTTCGTGAATAAAGAATAAGGTAACACCTAGCGTTTGCTCAACAAGAATAAGAAGAATTACTTGAACAACGCCGAGATAAACAAAAATAGGTCGTGAGATATATTGCTCAGCGTTCAGAAGTTTAATATATAATAACTTACTTAGATAAATGGGCAACCAATCCCCACTGGTTGTGCAGGCTCCAGCATAATTTTCACTTCCTCGGAGTTTTGCTGGTTTAGTCACCATGGTTCTCTGGACTCCTGAGGTCATCCTCGCCAAAGTTTGCCAAAGGTCGCAGACTACCAAACAACCAGTCGCAGCCTTTGTGGATTAGAGGGAGATTTGGCACCATGTGGCCTTGATTCCAGGACGGTGGTGGATCCTGGTATTGGTTTACATTTAGCTAAGCCTCCTGATGAAAACGCCGAACTCCTTCTCAGCTTGGGAAGTTGCTGGAGGGATGAATCCGTTTGCTGTACATCGTACCCCGACACTCAGGAACCCCTTCCAGCCACGATAAGACGGTAAACCGTTGGGAGGGCAGTAGTATATGCTATTTAATATATATATATATATTAATAGTAATACTTTAGCGAATCGGAGTGCTTCCATCCACAATTACAGCAGCACAATTGCTTCCCCAGAATCCTGATGTGTGGCAAAAGTTTAGAAAACAGCATATTCTTTTGTCCTATTTTAGCGAAAAATGACCTAACAAGAAGATTCATCCAAATATTTAATACATTAAAGGACCTTCTCAACTGTGGTATTAACAACATCAGGTGAGAAAAATGTGTCCATTTTTCCTCGGTTATATGCGGAAATATGAGGTGATCTCTTGTTTTTACTATTTTTGTCGACAGATCACCTATTGGGAACCCAGTAGAATTCGCCGTGGAAACTGGATATACCAGTGGACGGTTAGGGTTTATCAATTAGTGAAATCAGATGTGGAAACTGGATATAGAAACAGTAGAATTTGCCCATAAAATACGATAAACTTGCAGGAAGTTTGTTGCATATTACCGTAATGGATTTGGCTAGTGCATTCTCAGAGTAGATGTGATGATTGTTTACCGAAGAAAACCTACAGCTTTCCATGTATGTACATCACTTGATTGAAAGGTTTTTAACTCGATTTGAAGTATGCAGTCAACACACTTAAATATTTTCACACATTTTTAATACAAATGATGTGGTATAATACTGGCTGTGGCTTAATAAAATACAATATAGTATGACATGAAATAGCATGCCATGATACAATATGTTATATATATATATATATATATATATATATATATATATATA